AGCCCTCGTGTAGCTTTGCGCGAAATTCAAAAACAAACAAACTAAGGGGTATTTCACTAATAAAGCAATAGACCATTTCACTTACAAATTGTACCTTTAACTTTAAAGCAGTTTATTTATATAGTACTTAATTAACAAAATACCCCAATTTCACTAACAAAATCCACTACTAACTTTACAGCCACTTCACTGACAATCGTCATCCTTGATCAATAAAATCACGACACACAATATAATAATTTTTAACTCCATCGCACTACTATAACATGAATTGATTATCTTAGGATTTTATTTTGCATGAAAAAAAAAATTACCTACTACCTCTAATATTACTGTTTTACAATACAATAAGCATGATTAATTTGTTTCTTTGGAGTAAACTATGCCCATCAAGGTAAAAAGATGCCACAAGAGGGTTAGTAAACTTGCGGAATTTCATCTAAATAGAGATGTATAAGTGTTCTAAACCGCATTTGGCGATCTTCTTCTTAATTCGTTTTCTTGTGAATGCTGGATCAACTTCTCATTATAAAATCCAACTATACTCTTTCATTCTGTTTTGTTTCTGCATTCAAAACGTTTAGCCCATTTTAATTTTTATCATTTTAATGTTCATTTGTTTTGTAGCAGAAAATTATTTTTGTAATAATCTTGTCTTTCTTTCATTCTGTGATAAATTAATTCATAAGAAAGACAAACGAATAATCTTAGGATAAACATTCCTTTAAAAATATAAAAGAACGAAATCCAAGAGTTCTTACCTTGGGTTGAATTAAAACTGTAATGTACGTGAATAAACAATTATTTACTGAATTTTACAATTTTCAATCACTCGAAAATAAATGAAATGAACTGCACCCGACCTATATCTATTCCTTAGCTTAAACCCCCGTATAAAATAATAGGATCACTTTTCTGATCGAACGATCTAAGGACTCGGATGTGATGCCATTAATCACGTTATGCACTTTCAGTTGTGAACGAGTTGTAAAAGTGACAGTTAATTCCGTTATTCTGTTCGAAGAGCCAGACAAAGCCCTTGTTCCGGCAGTGCTACTGGCTAGTTACTCTTCTTCTTGTTGCTAGCCATTTATCTCACGTGCACGTAATGTGTCGTTTAGGTTGAAAATTCGAATTCCTAAATCTATTCTACAACTGTGACAATTTTGTTCTTCACCCTAAGCCCTAATGTCTTACATTTTAGTTATATCTTATTTCTATTAGTTTTTTATTCTATAAAAGAAATAAACATTTGATGCCTTTAATATTGTGAATAAGCATTTAAGTTGTAAAAAAAAGGAAGTACAGTGATAACAATCGATACAATTGAAGAATAACAAAAAAACACGTAATTTCATCAGAAATTAAAATATGTAATATTTAAGTTATCATATGAATTATGAAAATAACAAGAGTCTGACAATTGTGTTCCACATTTTCTAGTTAATTTATTCGTTGTAAAGAATTTAGCGTAGTTATGTGCACATCATGGCATACCTGATTAATTTAATCCTAAGTTTAAACATATGGTAATTTTGAAATAAATATTTTGATATATAAGAAACCATGAGAATGGGTTTTGCGGTACAAGTTTAAGTGTACTAATTTATAATGATCCAAATTCTGTTCAATCAGAATACATTCAATATATCATATCTGTAAGATGAATACAGGAAGGTATTTATTTCAGTGAAACTTAACAGCAGATCCTTAAACAATGTGTTTCACTTACAAACAAGAAACGTCAAGGCTACTAGAACGTGGCCTAGTGTTGGGCTTTTTTGTACTAACGATTCGGGATTCAAAACATGATGCTCTGAGCTCGATCTGCACTTTCCGCTGTGGACGTGTAACGAGAGTGAAAAAAACAAAACAAAGATCAGACAAAGCCCTAATGGGGGGATGTTGCTCGTTAATTGTTTTTCCACTGGCCAGTAGCTGAAAATTAGGAATACCTGAACCTTTAGGATCTCTGACCTAAGAAATTAATACACGCGTTCATAATGTCCAGTTCAGGTCGAAAATTCCAATTCCCCCCCAAAAATTCAAAGATTTCATGCGAATTCAAAACCAAAACGTTGTATTTCCTTTTTGTATTTGTACTTATTGTTTACATTATTCATAGAATAGTGTTAACAACAGCTATTGCTTAATGTAGTCAGTGTTATATCCAGATGAAGCTAATTAATATTTTCAACACTGTTATATAAGTTTGTGGATAGTATCTACGTGTATGAAGGCGAACATGTCGATCGATATAAAATTCAATGAATAAAGTCATATACACGTTGATCTCCCTATACGTTGGTCAAGCCATACATCTCTTGATCCCTTTACAAGTTGGTGTATATTAAATCTTATGAAATCATACCCACATTGATTTCTGTATAGGTTAGTCAAGTCATATACCTTTTGATCATATTTTTGGCATTTGGGTGTGTGTTAAATCTCATATTGTCATTTAGAAACCGATATCTCCATATATTGATCGACCCATACACCAGATTGGTCTCATTACATGTTTATGTATATTAAACATAATTAAATCAATTATAAACCGATATCTCTATATATTGATCAACCCATACACCAGATTGGTCTCATTACATGTTTGTGTATATTAAACATAATTAAATCAATTGTAAACTGATATCTCCATGTATTGATCAACCCATACACCAGATTGGTCTCATTACATGTTTGTGGATCAATATATAGAGATATCGGTTTATAATTGATTTAATTATGTTTAATATAAAAACATACACCAGATTGGTCTGATTACGTGTTTGCATATATTAAATATAATAAAATCAATTATAAACCGATATCTCTATATGTTGATCGAATCATACAAGAATTAGTCCTTTTACTTGTTCGTATATATATAATCTGATGAAATTATGTAAAAAGTTGAACTCTTTTATTCAATCTTAGAGACAAACCATTAGATATTTGTTCTTGTTGGTATACATTATGACAAATGAAATTAAACACATATCGCCTGTGTACAATTCAGAAATTAAACTTATACTGTCTTGTTTACTGTAATTGACAAAATTGTACATAGGCTGATGTGTGTACATAATTTTATAAAATATAACTGGTAAAACTACATAGGTGTTAATATGCGAGTGTGTATCAAAGTGTATACACTATTTGATTTCTGTACATGATGTTGAAATTTATTACAGATAACTTCATACGATAAGATAATATGTATATTATAATAATGTAGTATTACCATGTACAGTATGGTGTATGTATTATAATAATGTGTAGTAAGTACCTTGTACACAATGATATATTACTTGTTGGTGGATTATCGTGAAAAACGTGGTGTAGTTCTGTCGATATCACGTATGTTGTCTTATCAGATATGGCCAGCATTATAGTCACAGAACTGGTTTTTATAAGTGTTAATACATATATATGAATATTATTAATAAACTGTCTCAAAAATGGTTATATATTTTAATACAATGAACGGTAATGACATT